TCTTTCAGAACGATTGCCTAATACTGAACAAAAGCCTTGGCTTTTGCTTTCAAATTTAGTACTTGGTCTGAATGTTGAGACCGAATTGGACCATGAACTCCTGTTCTGCTAGGTTTATACTCTGAACTAAGGTAGGGGCAAGTTACAAATATTGGGAAACAGTCCGTAGAGAAGGGAAAAGGCTGGTGGCATGAACTTAAATTTGTTGAATTCTTTCCAGACACAGGCTCGAAGAGTAAAGTGATTCAAAACCAACTTCGCCTAGTGAAGTTATTTATGATAAAGTATTGAGCTGTTTTCGTCCATGTTTAAATGTTGGTTCTTTCATACTATTCGTGTTTCTAGACATAAATTTTTGTGATTTTGCTTCCATATCAAGAATGAAGGGCTGTCTCCATTCGCAGAGCACTGTCAGGGTGCTCAGCTGTGGAATCGAACCCCTTTGCCAAACGAAGGCAATGGGTTTGTGTCAGAGCCAGGGAACGAATGGGAGCGTTGGTTTTGAAGGTGTTTATTTGCTCTTCTTAAATGTTAGGGGCTTTAAGTGCGAACATATGCCTTGATCAAAAACGCGTTCAAAGGAAGCACTGACGGCATGTCCAGTGGGCTTTCTGACCTCAAAGCACTTGTTAGGGGACCGGTAGATGTTGGAAGCAATGGCAGACGGGTTCAATGACACGAGTAGAGTCGATATAAGCAGTTTAGGTGAACTGTGGTCAGTTTTTTCATTTTCTTTCCCTTTTCTGTCATTTGCCCACAGTAGGCCCTGTTTGTAGCCCATTTATGCCTGCCTCTCTTATGGCATTATCTCATTTTTTTTTTTTTAATTAAAGAGGTTATTTTTAATTAAGCTCTACACCCAACGTGGGGCTTGAACCTACAGCCCTGAGATCAAGAGTCGCACGCTCCACTGACTGAGCCAGCCAGGCACCCCTCATTATCTCATTATTGACACAATTTTGCCTTACCTTTTAGGTTTGAAATAGTAGCATTGTTTGGTGAATAGGCATTATTTAGGTTGACGGCAGGCAGTGCTGCAC